CTAATTGCCTAATGTGTGAAAAGGGCAGGATCTGGTTTTAATATAATTCTTTTTGCCTCAGGAGTTATTACAATATTTTTAGGAGAAAACAAAGTGGATCCCTCTAATAAAATTAAGTCTTATGTCTTTATCTTCCTATTTATGTGCAACTATGTGCAAAAACTATAAAATGCACAAATAGGTGTTACAGAAAACTCAGAGCAACTTCCCCTTCCATTCTGCCATTTATGTCATCTTCCTGTTTAAAAATACTTGAACCAAAGGATAGGATTGATACTTTCTGACTCATATGAGAGTTTTTAATCACACACAACCAGTCATTCTCTGAGAGGAGTGAAACTAAATCCAAAGATGATTTTCTGCTTATGCAACCGCTCCATAAGCATTAGCATGAAAACCGCCACATAAGTTATCGTGCTGTATGAAATCTCTGAGTTTGTAGAAAAGCACTAGTAGCTGTTGTCCTTTTCTATGACAATTTCTTGGATACAACTCAAAGCACAGTATAGTGTACACTAAAAAGGCATCCAATTCCACCTTTCATAAGAAGACAGAGGACTAACCACTTCTCAGTTCTAGCTTAGATCACTGTAACTTTATCATTCATAGTGCTGCAGGAATCTAAGGAGCCTGCTAAATCATGAGGCGAAAATTGTATCTCCACGCACAATTTTAGGTACCTTTACCATTTTAACTTCCTTCTAAGCTAAAGAGCCCTAGATCCTATTACTGGGGTTGCTCTGTGCTCTAGGCCCCTAGCAATCTGAGTGGCCCTTTCTGGTACAACTCTAGCATTTGAAAGGTGCCAGCAGAACAAGCGTGTCCAGGCAACTGATGCAAGCAGGCCAGGATATTTGCTACGGGGAATGTCAAAAGATCCAAGGGAATTCATCTCTTTCTTGGGTTGCAGGGTCAAGTGTAAGGAACACCTCAATTGGATTTGAAAGGCACAGGGGGGCTGCGTGGCATTTGCAGCTGTTCTTGTCTGTCAGATCAAGGCACTCTGCTGTGTAGCCAGCAAGACCATTAATGTAAGGCAATGAGGCCTTATAAGACGCACGGGGGAAGAGTGCTTATTTTCCTTTAAGAGGCTTGTGAAAGTTGGGGAAAACAGGGGAGGGAAACAAGAACAGCAGCCTGCCCTCCCAGGTGTATGCAGTGTGGGAAACCTCTAAAAGCACATTCCTCAGTAGAAGGAAGGAAATGTTCTGAGCATCCCATGAAGAGCTTTCATCAGCACTTTGGAAAGGTAAATAATGTCCAGAGATAAAGAGCTTTTTTAAAGACATTAAAAAAAAAACATGCTTGGGTAGACTCTTTCTTCTCTTGAGCAGCTGAGACTAATTTGTTTTTGCTGGGAAAGAATTTGAGTCTCTGGGTAATATTCCACCCTTAAAACTACTTTGTGTATGTATGTGCTCAAAATACACACAAGACCATCAATGAAGTAACATACAGTGACACCGTTCACCCAATGCATTTGCCTTGATTATTGAATTAACCAATGTCCTGGGTTCACACAATTAATCAAACAGTCTGGATTCTTACAACCCACTAATCAAACCAGGATCAGCAGCATGGGAGCCATATAGCATTTTCAACTATTGAAAATCTGAGTAAAGAAGAGTCTTCTTCAGTCCTTACACAGGTGGGAAAAGTTTATATTAGAGATTAGAACTAAAAATTTGTGAAAACAGATTCACATGTGCAGTTGAGAAATTCAGAAAGTGAAACCTCATGGTATCCAAGGCTTAAGGTGGGCTGATGGGAATTCAGCACAATTTGACTTCCTGGAGTCAACAAGGAAGAAGGCCCCTTTGACTCTCCGTCTGCCTACAAACTGTCTTCCTCTGTCCTGCTCCAGCAAAGCAACTGGGTTTGTGGATTGGTGGCAGGAGTGGGGAGTGGAATGAGAGAATGGCTGGGCAGTGCAAGGTCAAATCCTGTAAAAAGTCATGGAGATGACCTCAGGGAAGCCAAATCCTGTAAAAAGTCATGGAGATGACCTCAGGGAAGCCAGGAAGAGGCAGTGATGACTCCAGTAAAAGCAAACTTTAAGCTCAACAACAGTGAAAGTGTGAGGAAAAGGCTTTGACTGATTCCTCCCTAATTTACTAGAGCAGTGTTTCTCAACCTTGGCAATTTTAAGATGTCTGGATGTGCCCAAATTATCCCCAGTTTAAGAATCACTGGTATAGGGGATTATTAACTGCATACTTTCAATTGTCAGACATTGATGTAGTTAAACAAATCACACTTGTCAATTGACACACATTAAACTGGTTGTACAGTGGCTATAAGCAAACTACATCCATATTTTAACAGTTTACCATCGAAATCTATAGCCTATTCCCTTTTCAACATTTTCATAGAACTCATTTCTTCCTTTTTGTCATTTTGTGGGGAGATTAACATTTGTGACATTGATTCTATATATTTATAGGACTCTGATGTATCACTACCATTTCCAGGGCCAGTTTTGTACAGTGGTTATTATTTATTAAATTTGTACACCACCAGACTCCCAATGACTCTGGGCGGTTAAAGTGCTAGACTAGAAACCAAGCTCTGATCCCCCACCTTAGGCATGAAAGCCACCTGGGTGACTTTGGGTCAGTCCCTCTCTCTTAGCTCAACCTGCCTCACAGGATTGTTGTGGGGAAAACTGGAGGTGGGAGCATTATGCAGTTGCCTTGAGTTGTACTTTTAAAGGCAGGATATAAATCTAATAAATAAACTAATTAACAATCTCTAAAATTTCAGCATTCTCTCACTTCAGTTTCATCCCAAATAATTTGGTAACTTTTATTTTAATTCCATACATGCTGCTACAGGATCCTTGCTTATCCCCTTTTCACTTCCAAAACAATGATTTTATTTCCATCAAAATTGCTCTGCATTTTTCTCTGCTCTTTTAATCTTAATCTTCCTTGCTCTCTTTGACTACATTCTTTGTAATTCTTTTTTCTCTTACTACACATTATGCAGTATCTTTCTCTCATCCTCCCTTTTTGTAGCTATCATCTTACATGTAAACGTAGCCTCTTCAGTTTATCATTCCAAGCTTTCTTTTTATTAGCTTTTTTATTAACTTATTAGCATACTTCTATGGCACTCTGTAGCACTCTTTTTATTTGATTCTAAGCAGCTTCCACATCCTCTTTTCTTATATGTGTGCATGGGGTGGGATGGACTCTAACTGTCCCTGGTGGTGGTTAGCGCCCCAATAGTGCTCCCTTGAAGTATTCGCCAACTCTCCATCTTTCTTGGAAGCTAATTATTATTAAGACTGTTTTATATTGTATTTTAATGAATTTTGTCCTTGTTGTAAACCGCCCAGAATCATTTCAATGAGATGGGAGGTGACAAATTTGATAAATAAAGGATAGATAAAACAAATATCCATTTTCCATTCATTCTGTTAGATTATGCTATTGTTTTTGTATAAGTATGGTACTTTCCTTTACTGCAGTCATTCTACTTTCACTTTTGTTTATTTTACTGCTTCTCTTTTCTTTTCATTTCCATGTCCAGTTTTTCCCAAAATCTACCCCTGACATTACACAAAATAATGATCCATCCCACATTCAGAACCTCTCATTACCCTTGCATTCTTCGTCAGTCTTTCATCATATACAATCAAATCTATCTTAGATTTATATTCATTACTTTAACATGTGTATGTATGAACAGATTTATGCTGAAACCACATTTTTACCACATTTTTTCTAAGCAGCTAATCAGTCAGCATACTCATTCATTCTTTTTCTGTACTCACTCATCTCATCTCAGCCATCAACTTCAGGTCACCTAGTAGAATGTGTTTTCCCCATGGACTGCATTCATTGCATAAACTTCCACAAAACTCATCTCTCTAGGTCTTCCATTATCACCGTTCACTGGAGAGCAGCATGCAACTATTGCCAATTTATGGATTCCTATTTTCATATGCACCCATAATAATATAGAAGGCACCAATTCATATTTTTCTGACATAGATTTTAGCCCTTTCATTCATAATTACATCTATACCTTCATTTCATATTTACTGACTCTATGCCACAAGATCAGACCACTTATTCAGATCTATTACATCTTAGATCAGCCATACAACATATATTTTTCTTTTTCTTTCATTCGTTAATTCATGTTCTTTATTTACTCCTCTTATAATACAAATTGCTATAGGTAAGGTAACTACTAGTCAGTTTTGAAGCATCTTGGTGAGCATGCCACAAATACCACCAAAGCCCAGTTCTACCCCAAAATTGTTCATGCTATTCCACATAAGCCAGGCTCTCTAAGCTAGAGACTACTTTGCAACCCAACATACTGCTACCTACATCCCATAACTAGGATTTATATGCAGTATACTCATTGATACACATTCAGGATGCAAAAGTATTAAATATCTAGGAATAAAGAATTATGTACAAATGGGGACTTATATAAAATGAAATAAACCGGGAATAAACTTGTTCACCCATCTCTAAGTGCAATTTACACTCTAAAAAATGTTGGGTAAAGAAATAGAGAAGTGGGAAACAATGTAATAGGGGCAGCAGTCTTTTCGGGCAATGACATGATTTTGTACGACATATTTTTAAAAAAATAAATTAAAATATTTTTTAAAAGTTGAAAGGGTTAAAATCTTTTGGGCCTTCAGGCAAGGACATAATGATTTTATAGCATGTTGCTTATTTTGCAAGATTTAGACCTTTCAATTTTTTTAAAAAATTAATGCTTTAATTGGAGGTCAGTGGGCATTGTTTATTACTCCTGCGATACAGAGTAGGCTGTTCTGTGCAGCACAAAGATGCCTCAATCTCATTCTGAGTGCTGTTTGAGAAAATTAAAATATCTCAGCCTTCAATTTTAATACTTAAAAATAAGCCTTTGTTCTAGGAAACATAACAGTCTGAGAATTTTTCTTCCAGCAATCCAAAGCAGAATGCTAAAATAGGCACACTGATACCCCTGTAACTGTTTTGAATACTAACCATGCATTTGGTAAGCATAAGGTGTCTGGCCTGATGCTGCAGTGCTGAAGCTGGATCCATAGCTAAGAAAACCACTCTGACCAGGCGAATGGCTCAGGCTATCTTCTGTTTTGATGGCTTAAGAGACAAAGAAGAAGGAATATATATCAGATATCAAGCATACACAAATATTTGATGTACTAAGATTATTTTCAGTAGAGTTTGTCCCTATAACCTTCTCCCCCCCCTCCAAATTCATGCAGCAGAAGATGGAACAATCTCCAAAATGAAGGGCAATCTGACATAGCATTGTCTGTGTAAGATAGGGGAGGGAAATTGTACAAGGAATTGCTCAAGGGGGGCAGCAGTTTGAATTCCCCACTCTTATTCTTATCTTAGAGAAGAAGAAAGCTTGTATTAATAGCATTTCAGAAGAATTAGATGTTTCTGTAGAGCATCCAGTTTACACTCAACATTAATTTGGTTATTGGTTATTACCTTTAAAGCCCTACATGGCATGGGTCAAGGTTACCTGAGGGACCGTCTCACCCCCATCACATCAACCTGTCCCACCCAGCCAGGCAGAGAGGGAATGTTGTGGACCCCGTCAGTGAGAGAATGTTGCCTGGTGGGGGCCAGGAGGAGAGCCTTCTCTGCCATTGCCCCCGCCCTTTGGAATATTCTCCCCCCAGAAGTGTGGCAGGCCCCTACCCTACTGGCTTTCCAGAAAGAATTAAAGAGCTGGCTCTGCCAGCTTGTGTGGGGTGACAAGAATCTTACCCAATCCTGGGGGTGGCTGGCAGATGCTCCCCAAGCTACTGTCAATTTAACATCTATTCTTGAATTTTATTTATTTTCTATTTATTCAGGAACATTTTATATTGTATTTTAATTGATTTAACTGCATCATAAACCACCCATTTTTAACGAGATGGGCAGTGACAAATTTGATAAATAAATAAATAAATTGCAGGAAGAGGTCACAGATGCATACAGAACACCATACAAATCACTTTTTATCTTTAAAATAGAACAGATCCCACTGCAAGCTGCATGTCAGTCCAATAACACTGATTTATGGATGCTTCTTGCAGCCATTTAAAAATTGGAGCAAATTTGCTCATGCGATAACAATGGCACAGGGCCTGGGTATCTGTGGGATCGCTTCTCCCTGAGGGCATCTGTCCATTGTACTCCAGGTCCCTTCCCTTAAATGTTGCCACCTGGCAGGGCCTAGACAGCGCACCTTCACGGTAGCTGCCCCTGCCCTTTGGAACACCCTCCTCCCCGAGATCTGGCAGGCCCCTACTCTCCTCGCCTTCCAAAAAGCTATAAATACCTGGCTTGGGACAGTGTGAGGCTGGAGCCCAGGGAAGCTCTAAAGGTTGTTCTGGATATGTTGTATTTGGGGCACTGGGAAGTTTTTGTTGGCTTTTATGTTTTTTTACTGTTTTATTATTGTTTGTGAGCTGTCCAGAGTTATGCTGCATAAGATTGGCAGCTATAGAAATCTTTTAAGTAAATAAACAAACAAACTTCCCATGCCAAAAACAAGCCAATTTGTTTGGGCAACCATGAGTGATTATATATTATTATTGCAGACTCCATAATTGTTGGTATCTGAGTTGGACTTTTGTGGGTATATGGTAGGAGAAATTGCTTTTCTTTCCATGACATTTGTGTTCTGATTGTAATCAGCAACTTGCATGAAGAACACTCAACCCATTACAGGCTTGGCCACAATTAATCTTCAGTGACAGATGCTTTCTGGAAGCCTGTTTCAGACTGAGAAATAACTTGGCACCAAATTAATTTCCACATAGTTCTCCGTTTTGTCTAGGAACCTGGGAGAGTTTTACTTTTGAGCCCAAAAAACAATAGTACTTCATTGTTCTTGGTTGTCTGCCAGGTGGGATTTTTCAGAATGTACAGAATCGCATGGTGGGCGTAATGAAGAAAGAGGTGGAACATAGGAAAGATTATTGTTCAGAAGATGCAAATAGGTAATCTATAGGATATATAAGAACTGTGCAGACCTGACTGGCAGATGGCCCTAACTATGTATTTTCGTGGACCACCGCAGGTCCTTTGGGATGGTGGTGGTTTACAAATGCGATAAATAAATAAATAGATAAATAAATAAATGTTTAAAGAATAATGGCCCAAAGACTCCAGTCAGTCACCAAAGGATTGTCACCTGCTGTTAATCACAACTGTTCCATGTTTTTTTGGGCTTCTATGCAGCTAATACAACTATACGTACAGTAGATAAGTATGACTCCAGAAAAGAAAGCCTAAATGTTTCTCAAGCCACCATGATAAAAATTAGTATTTTTAGGCCTGTCTTTCCGCAGAGACTGTACAGGGTTGTTTATTTTGAATGAATTTAAATGCTCTTACTTGTTTAGTCGATCAGGAACTAACTTTAAGTTTTAATAACATTAAGTTTTTAAAGTTATGTTTTAAAAATCAGTGTTAAACTATTATCTTTCAAAAATCATAATCCAGGATATATGATGGATCATAAAGAGTTCCTATAGAGTATATTTCTACTCATACATAAGCTCCATGGGAACAGAGTACAGGATTTCAAGTCTAAGGGATTAAATTTGTCAAACACTTGCATAAAGAAGTCTCAGCAGATTACAAAAATGTTCTGGGTCTGAACTCATCTCTCATGGCCAAGTATTACATATTATTTCATGTGGATTATGAAAAGAATTCAGTGGTCTCATGGATCATAATATACATTTAATAGTTGACTTTCTCTTAACGTTGTTCAGTTATAACACCAATTCCTTACATCTATTCTTTTCATTCTTTCCCTGATTTTAGACTACTATGTAGAATACTGACCTAGAATGTTGAGGAACTGATTAAGGACAACCACTATGAAAAATTACAAAATCTTTAAAGGATGACTTAAAAAACCTAAATGAGTATCTAATATTATTAATTAAGATGCAATGCAGTGGGTTAGAATGTGTAGCCACCCTATCTGGATTTCTGAATCTAATATTACTACCCATAACTTACCACAAAACCAGTCATGCCAAAATAAACTGAAATTGAACTGGGCTGGCAGTTTAAATTTAGATTCAGTATCAGGAAACTTTTTATGGTCTAGGCCTTGGAACAGTTGATAATATGAACATGCTGACTTATGCTATGTGATTCATTCAGTAAGTGTAAGCCTATAACCACTTTAGGACGGTGAAGAAGAATAACATATGCAAGGTTACTTGCATATACATAGGAAATTGAGGATCAATGTTATTATTATTTGCACAGTCCAACCTTTGGGCCAGTTATTTTACTTTAACACACATATGGTGCTGTTTACGCTCTGCAGAACCTTGCATGCCATGACCTAGAAGTTTTTAGAAAACTAATAAATAAAAATACCCTTTCAACTTGGAAACGCTTCTTACTTGATGATTGTTTAATAAAATGAAACATGGCTAAACAGTGGCAACTTGGAACTGCTTAAAATACCCAGGCAGAGTCTCAAAGCAAGCACCTATTCTCTGGAACTTTGCCACAAGAGAAATAGGTAAATACAAAATATAATCAGGGCCATAAAGCTTTGGGTGAGGCATCAGAGCTGTTCCAAAAGTTTCTACTGAATTGGCAGTAGTATTGGCAGTAATATGGCAGGAGGGAGAAAATAATCTATACAATTATACATTTTAATAATTTTCTTTCCTTTTATATTAATTCAGTATGACAAGAAAAATGTTAAATACTTGGTGTATTGTCGAAGGCTTTCACAGCCGGCATACGATGGCTGGTGTGGGTCTTCCGGGC